CGAATTCCGCCGTGCAAGCCTTCAAGGAGGATGTGAACTTTGAGATGGTTTTCAGGCCGCTGGATTGGGAAAAGGCTGGGATCATGGTGGTGACAGATGCAGCTCTTGGCAATGTCACTCGATTTGGCACTGATGGCGCGGCGCCTCTGGAGAAGGTCTTCTCGCAGGCCTGCTACTTCGTGTTGGTTGCAGACGCCGACCTGATGAACGGCAAGACTGGCCGGTCTAACATCTTGGATGCCCGGAGCCATAGGGTTCCCCGTGTATGTCGCTCCAGCTATGCAGCTGAAACTCTCAGCGCCGAAGAGGCCTTCGATGTTGGGCAGTTGTGCGGGGTTTCTTCGCCTCGCTCAAGGGCAAGTCCGTGGTCGGCAAGGAGTTCGAGAGGAACATCGACACGGTGGGCCTGACGGTAATGGTGAACGCGAAAGACGTCTACGACAAGTCCAATTCGGACACCGCGAGCTATGGCTCGCAGAAGTCCTTGGCCTTCACGGTGGCTTGGATGCGTGCCTTGCTGAGGCGTCCTAACATCAAGTGGACCTCCACGGAGAACATGTGCGTCGATGGTGGCACCAAGGCCATGGATTTGACTCACATGAGGAAGATTATCAAGACCGGTTCCTGGTCGGTTTCCTACTCCCCGGACTTTGTGAAACAGGTGCCAAGAAAGTTCCTAAGGTATCTGCATGCGCAGTGCTTCCTGGAGATGCAGTTGGCGGAGATGATCCGATACTTGCCCACCTCATGGCCTTGGGGGAACAACGCGGCTGGCATGCGCGAGCCGGTGTCGGCATCAACGTGGCTACATCAGCCAAGTCCTTTCGGACGCCTGAGCCCCGGTTTTCTGCAGAGTCTTTGCCCCTCCGCACCACGTTTGGGCGTTTCCAGCACGAGACCGGACAGTACGAGTGGAGGCGCTTGGAGGATGCCTTGCGGTACGGCAGCCTAGCCAACCCGCACGGCATGATTGAACGAACCGTATCTCTCCTGGTTACCTTCTTCCATCAAGGTACACTTCCTGGACTGAGCGGCTGTGTGTGACCCATTTCCGCCAACAAAAATAGTTGGGTCAATGAGAAATGATGCAATTGGCAAGGGTCCTCTCACAGGCCCAATGCGCAGGTCCTCACTAAGGTTTAGTCGTACAGTGCGGCAGGATGCCGCTGACATTTGGGCTCAACGCCCAGGCCTTACGCCAAGCTGGCTTTTGCGGAAATAGAAGGCAGCCATCCCGTGCGGTTCCTCGCTTTGGTCCCTCACGGCCCTGCTTTCATATTATTATTATTATTATTATTGTTATTATTGTTATTATTGTTATTATTGTTATTATTGTTATTTTTATTATTATTATTGTTATTATTGTTCTTATTGTTATTATTGTTATTATTGTTATTATTATTATTATTATTATTATTATTATTATTTTCAGCACCTTTTAATCTTATTTATATGGTCTCTGCCTCCAAGGCCATGTCGCGGAATGGAGACAGTCCATGGAAGAGGGACGAAAGTCAGCAGCAGATGCTGCTGTCCAGCAGCAGATGCAGTGGAATTCCTTCAAGCAGACCTGACATTTTGATGTTTCCAGGCAAGAGCAATACAGTTTCTATTCTTAACTAACACCCGCTCAGGGCATTGGCCTGCAGCGGCCTCTCATACAGGTATGCCTGTTCTGTATATATATATATATGTATGTATGTATACATATATGTATATATATATATGTGTTTGTTGTGTTCCTCCCTAGATAGCTGAAAATTATATATATATGGGTTCTAACTTCTATTATGTGTTTTCATCGTTTTTTAAAACATACATTATATATATATATATATGTACATATATATATATATACATGTGCGTACACATAGCCGTATTCATGTTTCACCTTGGCCATATGAGCCACAATCAAAACCCGGGTAGATGAACGTTAGTAAGGGATACTCCCAACCATAAACAGCTGCGGCCGCCTTCTTCAGGGAGGCTGGGGGGGAGGCAGGGGAGGGGGAGGGAGCCCAAATAAGCCCTTATTAAGCCCTTAATAAGGCCTTATTTGGGGCTTATTTGGGCTCCCTCCCCCTCCCCTGCCTCCCCCCAGCCCCCATGACTTCTTAATTCTTTACATGGTAAAATGGGATCCGGGTTTTGATTATGACTATCACGTTGCTCCAGGCCACCAGCTGCTGCATCTTGACCACGGCTCTGGCCTTCGCGGTGCGGGGCTTCAAGGAGGACACCGAGGAGACGGAGGAGGGCCGCTTGGCGCTTCAGAGCGCGCTGAAAACCGAAAACCGAAATGGGTTGAAGCTTGGTCTGAACCAGAACATGGGGGCGCGGAGGATTGAATGGGTATGATGGGCTGAAAACCACTACAGACCATCCAGTTGACCAGTTCCAGCAGACTGACGGGGTTGTTCTCTGCTTTTGCAGTAGGCCGACGAAGCTTGGCGAGCCACAGTTGCACGAAAACCGAAGTTCGTGGAGTTGGCGGTTGGGGGCATTCTGCACCAGAAATTCGAGGTGAGGAAAAAACGGGGGGTTGAAAGCATGGGTGCGGAGGTGCCTGAGCCACAGTCAAAACCAATTCGGGGAGTTAAAGCTTTAGGGCCCTCCAATGGGTGAGGTGCGGAGATCTGTCTTGGTAGCTCTTTACCATGGTTTTGGCTTCACCGTTTTGGTCTCATGTTTTGATTATGACTCAGAGTTTGCCTCTCATTCCCTGTCCTCTGCCGACAGACAAGTTTTATCCCAGCCCATTTTTCCAAGGAGAATACAGAATACAACATCCCGGGGTTATGGTACCATTTCGGGGTAGGTGCACCATCCATTTTTGTCTATTTTAGTGGGGGTTGGGATGTTCACTGGGGGTACGGGGTTTTGACCCATGGCCAAATTGCCTTGGAACATGTGTTTTTTTGCTCTGGTAGGGCCGCTTTCTTCACCACGAATCTCAGCGATAAAGTCATGGGAATGACCAATATCACGGCGATTTTTCGCGATTTGGAATCTCCGGGCGAAGAAGGTGTCCCTTTAGGTGTCCTTGTCGATCTTGGAGGGGAGCCTAAAAGCACAACATTTTGTGTGGAGGAGTTGTGGGTTGAGTGTCCCAACCAACGTAGTTGACGCAAATAGGGCGTCGAGCCTCAAACAAGACACATCCACGGCTCACCAGAAAGGAATGGAGGAGAGCCGAGCACTCTCTCTCTCTCTCTCTCTCTCTCTCCCTATGCGTCATACCTAAATGTGAGCTGACTTGCCTCTCAACGAGATTGTGAGGCATCAACATGCTTTGGAGCCTTTTGATAAACTGGTCAAGCTGAATCTGTGCCCTGGATTCAGTTTGGAATAGCGGTTGAGGTTCTTGGCATATCTTGGCGAGCCTTCAGATGACCAACTGAAGTTGGCAGGACGCTCTGTTGGTTTCCCCAAACACGAGCGGCCGCACTCGGATGCTTGGGTTCCTTGCAAGCACAATATTGACACGCTGACACGTGGCGTGCCGGACTCTGCTTCCATGTTAACCATGTTTCTTTCACTAGAACAGAGGACAGTTGCCCAGTTGCCCAGTGGTGCCCTTTTTTCCTTTTTGCTTTGGCAGGGTTTCCCTTTAAAGTCAACCAACCCAAAAAAGGATGCCCTTTTTTTCCTATGGCCACTGGGCATCTGAGGGTATTCGAGCCCAGAGCGCAGTCAGATTAAGGCGACCAAGTTCCACTTTCAGGTAAGATTCAGCCCGCTCGCAAGCGCCGAGTTGCATCGATTCGAGGTCCCATTCTGCCGATGCAGAAGACCATGTGAGCCGCCCGTTTCGGGTTTGTGTTGACCCAGGTCAGCCACGTGCTCAAAATTCGGGTAGATGAAGGTTTGTAAGGGATATTCCCAACCACAAGTAGCTGCGGATATCCGCCTTCATTCTTGAAGCATGGTTCTGGGATTATGACCATTTTGATACCGGGTTTGGATTATGACTCATATCACTCTAGGGGTTGAAACTATTCTTTTCAACCATCGTTCTTTTCAAAAAACCGATCGCTAGTTTCCCCAGGGTGACTTGATAGACCAATGCGGCTGGGTGCAAACGAATGAAACTTGAAGTTGACGAGCGGATCGAACCGGAAAAAGGCTGCAATCGGAACGCGCGCGTCGACCCGCAATCTTCAAGTCGGAACGCGCCTTTCCGGGGTGCTGCTTTCGTGGCTTGCTGGTTTCCTGTTTTTTGGGTTTCCTGGTTTCCTAGTTTTTTTCTGGTTTTCTGTTTTTTGTTTTGTTTTTTGATTTTTGGTTTTCTGGTGTTCTGGTTTTCTGGTTTCCTCTTTTTTTTCTGGTTATCTGATTTTTTTCTGGTTTTCCTGTTTTTTTTTCCGTTTTTCCTGGTTTTCTGGTTTCCTGTTTTTTTTCCGGCTTTCTGTTTTTTGTTTTGTTTTTTGATTTTTGGTTTCCTGGTTTTATGATTTGTCTGGTTTTCTGGTTTTATGGTTTTATGGTTTTTTGGTTTTCTGGTTTTTTGGTTTTCTGGTTTTTTGGTTTTCTGGTTTTCTGGTTTTTTGGTTTTCTGGTTTTCTGGTTTCCTGGTTTCCTGGTTTGCTGGTTTTCTGGTTTTCCGGTTTTCTGGTGTTTGGTGTCTGTTTTTTTTTCTTTTCTAGTTTTTCGTTTTTCGAGGTTTCTTCCGAAGCTTCGGGCCCTTTAAAGGCCTGTGGGTACGGGCGCCTCTAATTTTGACCCAATGCTTTCGGGATGGAGGTCACCCTGCAACATGATGTTCCCATGGTTTGCCATTAAAACACACAAAAAGGTTGCCCTTACAGCAAGACCCCCATGTGAGCCACAATCAAAACCCGGGTAGATGAAGGTTTGTAAGAGGTAGTTTTAGTCGGAAATAGTTGCGGCCGCCTTTCCAATTCTTTACATAATTCTTGGTTCACCATTCTTGTACCAGGTTTTGATTGTGGCTGTAGCAACCTGGTCAGCCCTTTTTGTCTCCAAGCTGGGACGCTCAGGCGGTGCGTGACGTGCTGGAAGCGCTGGAAGCGCGCGAAGCCCCAGAAAGCGAGAACTGAATTGGCGCGAGGGAATCAAAGTGTCAGGGTGAAAGATAGCGCCATTTTCCCGGGTGAGTCATGACTTCCCCACATGTTCGACAATTGTGCCATCTACTTTCGCCCTAATTAGGCGTACTTTCGAAGTGGTTCTTTCAAGGCGATGTTGAAATGCCACAGGGATCGGTGAACACTCGTGCCCGAAGGACATGCAAGTTGAGCATTTATTTCGTGAAAGACCACGCAAAATCGAATGATCGCCTCAGCGATGTGCAAAGTCAACTGCTTGTCCGGAATATTGCACTAGTCGTCGAGCCCACCAGATAGCAACATGCAAACATGCGCAAGTCAGCGCACTCGAGCGCTGTTCAACAAGAAATGCAAACGTAGACACGAAGTACATGAACGCGATGCAGCACAAGTGATATTTATCAGTAGCGTGATGCACATTTGCCTTACTGCTTTGGCACCAATGTCCGATTTGCTTGTGAGCAAAGTAGGGTCCTACTTAAGTTCGGAGCTGGGGTCCTTTCGGGGGTTCTATTGGCCCATCGCCCTAGCAAGAAACTGACATGGTGCTTTCTTTTGCGGGGGCCTACCACGATTCCGAAGCTTCAGGGCATTTAACCCAACAAAGCCTTGGTGGCTGACTTAGCCGACAAGATCAGCACCAGAAACTGATGGGGGACTATCCAAACCCGATTCGCAGCGGCCAAACAAAGAAGCATTGATTACTCTGACGGGGATGACCTGTGGGCGCGCTCACCTCGAATCACTATTCCGACACGACGTGGGGGGCCCCCGATATCAGTTGGAAACAACCATGAATCTACAATTCTTATGCAGCGACACCACAGGCACCACAAGCACCAACGTCACCAGCTTGGAAAGACTTTCAAGGATTCATCATGCCTGCTGCCCCCCAACCCATTCTCGGGCATTGAAGGGGCTGGAGACCTCACCCGAGCATCCGTATGATCTGCGTGAAAAAGCAATAGTACAAGCCTGGGGTACACAGGAAACATAGAATCTCACATTTCTGAGACTTACAAGTAAGGATGCTGTAAGTTATGTCTGGGGAGGTTCCTCACGCATATGTATATATGGGGGTTGATCAAAAGGTCCTTGCAAGGAGTTATGTATTCGGTGACCATTCGTTTTGGCTTAAATCCCTCCGCGAAAGATCGGCGATGGAGTTCGCGAAAGAAACTTATTTTTTCGCGAAAGATTCCGCGTTGAATTCTTGGAGGCCTGCCTGTGCACTTACATATTTGCAGACCCCGCTCCCTTGTAGAGACGGAGATACGCAGCACCTACACTTGCATTATTGATTCCCTGCCTGTGTTGGGATTGGTGCAAATCAATAACGTTGGCTGGGCTTTTTTGGAGCAAGTTTCGCGAAAGATCCGCGAAAGACCGGCGAAAGGCCAGGGAGCTTGTTGCAAGGTTCCGCACATCGCCGGCAACCGCAAGTGGCAAGGGCGAATGACGGTGACTGCCTGCACTTGACACTACGTACTGCACGCAAGTGAACTGCGGCTACCGTGTTTGCAAGCACAACTGCAGCAGCCACAATGGCTCCAGAGCGCACGCTGCAAACAACAGGGCGTGGCGATGGAGTCGCGAAAGATTCGCGAAAGAAACTTTTTTTCTCGCGAAGATGGCGTTTTCCGGAAACAGGAATATTGATCAACTGCCATATATATATATGTATTAGACATGACATATTACATAAAACAATAAATGTATGGCAAGCGGTCAGAAATGCTGCACTTGTGACTTTAGAGGGGTGTTCGGAATTACTCTCTGGCTTTTGATTGCTTAGTCTTTGCTTCAAGGCGGGCCACACGAGAATCAAGCAAATTCCCTTGTCAGCGCTAGCTCAGCGCTAGAGCAGTGCTAGCCTTTCTTGGTGGAGAAACTTGTGTTGTTTCAAAAGCTGGTTTGCTAAAAGCCTGTTTGCTCAAAGTCTGTATGGTTCCAGCATCATGGCCGAGGAGCACGCCCATTGCACGGGTGCTGTGTTGCCATGTCCTGCCCAACGCAGTTTTTCGCGCTAGCCTGGCGCTAGCCCGCGCCAGCGCTTGCGCTAGCAGGGGGCCCATTGTATGGGCCATGCCCCTTGGAGCAACATCCCCAAGCCGCATCAGCCTGCAGACTCCTCCATCCCCAAGGCCTTCTATTCTAGCATCGTTGGAGCAACGAGCAGCGCTAGTGACAGAAATAGCAACAGTAGCAGCTCACGCTCTTCTAGCTCCGGCTGAAAAAGCTGCGCACTCGCGCGCCTGCCACACAATCTGCAAATGTGCTCTTAGAAGCAATGTAGCCGCAATGAGATTGAACCATAAGCCCGCTATGCGGGCCGCACGGCACCGATCATTTCCAAACAACCTGGGAAACAACATCTGCCCAAGGATTGGTTCCATGCGTGATATACAGGCTTGGTTCCATGCCCGAGGATTGGTTCCAAGGAAACAACATGGGAGACAACATGGCTTCCATATACATCTGCCCAAGGATTTTCAGGAGCCCCAAGGGAAGCCACCCATTTGAAGGCGCCAAAAAGGCGCCGTGCGGTGCCACTGAGCCGTGCCAGGCGTCCTCTCGTAAAGTTGCATACAAAAATGGATGTGTCTCGTTTTGAGGGTACCCTTCCTCCCACTAACATGGCTTCCTCTGTCAGGTGTTCATGTTAGTGGGTGGGAGGGAACCTCTTTTTGCTGGGCTTGTGAAAACCGTAAGTCGTGTCCGATTCCCGCTAACGGGCACATGGACTTGGATTGGCCCTTACCCGTTGGCAACTGTTCCACCAGTGTTCAGTGCCTTCGCTTCGCACTGGGCTACTCGAACTACCTGGGTTTCCCCTACACCTGGAATTGCTTCTGGGGTAGACTTAGGATACATGTTACATTTTACCAGTGACTCAAAGTGAAGAAAGCAATAAAATATAAAGTCTATAACTGGGCCTAACTCTAATCATGGCTGGTCCTTGCTCGTTGTTGGTTGTTTCTGTGCTCACGCTTTCAGGCATCTCTTTGAAAAAGAACGACCTTTTGTGAAACATTCAATGCATCGTCGAATGTGCAGAACGTCAAGCAACCCACCAAAAGGCCATCATATAGTGCAATTCGGAGGCCGGGCACCAAGAGCATCGATGAGGCCGACCCGGTGTTCGCGTCGGATCGGTTTGGGCGAATAGAGAAATTTGGGTCTATATTCTAGCCTTGATTGATATCCCCGTGGCGGTCTCTTATTGCAGCGAAGCACCATTGTAGTTGGGTTGTTCTTCCAAATTGGGCCGGGGGGGGGGGGAAGATGCTCACTGCATAGCAATGCTCCGAACAGTCTTTCGTCTCCGCAGCCAAGGCAGGAACCTAGAGGGGCAAATAACCGCGACCTGTGTATGTTGCGCAATACACCGATTCAACTGACACAACTACACTAAGAAATTTGCTTGAGCCATCCCGTGGCTTGGCGCGTTGAGCTTGAGACTGTTTAACTTAACATTCCCCTACAATCTGGTCCTTTGATGATCAGAGTTAGCCGATGGGTTGTTTGTCTTGGTTGGGTGTGTGGTTTGTTTGTGTGCTTGTGTGTTCGTGTGTTCGTGTGTTCGTGTGTTTGTGTGTTTGTGTGTTCGTGTGTTCGTGTGTTCGTGTGTTCGTGTGTTCGTGTGTCTGTGTCTGTGTGTGTGTGTGTGTTCGTGTGCGCGTGTCTGTCTGTCTGTCTGTCTGTCTGTCTGTCTGTCTGTCTGTCTGTCTGTCTGTCTGTCTGTCTGTCTGTTTGTTTGTTTGTTTGTTTGTTTGTTTGTTTGTTTGTTTGTTTGCTTGCTGATTTGCTCGGCAATGCATTCCCTTCGTCCATCTCCCGCACAGGGCTGCGGTCCATCTGAGCTAGCTTGAACCTCTTGTTTGCTTCAGTAGGTCGATGTGTTCTTCCCGGATTATGTATACTGCTTTGCCACTTCCCATGTTTGCAAGGACTGTAGTGCGCTGGTTGACATTTATGTTCAGCCTTTCCGAAATATGGTTGCATAGACCCAGGAGAAGGGCATGGAGAACTGCAAGGGCCAAGTGCCTCATTTGATCATGTGCCCTGATCTTCTGTCCTGGGTTTTCGGCGCTCCCCAAAACGAGCGCCCTGTTTTCGCCCCGAATCCGTGGGAGCTTCAGGCGCCCATGATAACTTCAGGCGCCCATGAAAGCCTCACGAGGTTCAATCGGCTTCCTTGTGGCAGGCAACCATCTTTCTGCCAAAAGGCGACCTCACCCATTCGGGGGTACAGCGAACTCACCATGAGAATGGTCCCTTTGATAAGGGGAACCCTTAATTCAGCTTTTGAAATGATGGTGAAATTTGCCGATCTTTGGTTTATGCAGGATCCGGCTCCAGAAGCAGAGAAGGAGGAGGACCCGCAGATCCACTTGACAACCCCAAGGGCTAAAATGCCACAAGCTTGTGTGACATAGGCATGTGTGTGTGTGTGTGCGTTTGTTTGTTTGTTTGTTTGATTGTTTGCTTGCTTGCTTGCTTGCTTGCTTGTTTATTTACTTGCTTGTTTGTTTGTTTGTTTGTTTGTTTGCTTGTTTGTTTGTTTGTTTGTTTGTTTGTTTTGTTTGAGGTTACCCAATTGAATCATTTGAAAGGGAACAAGAGGACAACCACCATTGTGGGACAAACCCATGGATTGTCCAGCCTGAATCACACTGTCCATGGACATCCAGGGAAACTTGTGCATCTCGGTGGGCGTCCATTGCCCTTTCAACCTGGGGCACGTTTTCGGACAACCTTCATTGTGACGCCCTGTCTTCCTGGCCGTCCAGCCACATCTGAATTGAGCTGGCAATGCAATCCCGGGTATTGAAATGAGGGCATAAAGATTCACCAGGAACGCTTCTCAGCGATTCTATGCTATGTCCTTTGACCAACCCAAAAGGGCAACTCCTCAGTGTGGTGCCAACTAGAATTGCCTCCTAAAGGCCTGCAACACGATTTGCTCCCCTCAGCCACACCCAGCAGTTGCACGGTTTTCGCAATATCATGGGGGCCAGCTGTTGCTTGGGAATGAAACATAGGGAATTGAGGGGCGCGTGGATGCGCATGGTCTGCCTAGAGTTTCTGGGAGGTTTGCTTTGATGCTTTTGCTAGTGGATTTTGCTTCTGTGAACTCCCAAGATTTGGTCCAGACTGCTCTGCGCAGATGTCCCTTAAGTTTTGCAGCGGGTTGCGGCTTGCCAAATGGGAATGGGGGAGGCAGAAGCATGGAACCGGGTCTCTTCAAGAGGAGGCACTTAGAGACTATGTAGGAGGGAGACTTGGAAAATCCCTCATCTTCTGTTGCTCCCCAAACCAAATCCAAGCACAAGTAGACAGCTTGCCATAGGTACTGAGCCTTGACACACCCTTTGCCGTAAGTAAAGAGCCCGTGTATTTTAAAGGGAATCTATCACTACTGGACAAATATGTTTTCCTTTGGGCTTAAGCGAAGAACAATGGGCAAAGGTATGCTGATTCGGGCTTTCATGTCATTCGAGATCTCAAAGAGGATACATGTGGAACAAGCCTTGCTAGGATCTGAACGACCATCCAGTAAATCAAAGTGGGGCGAGCGTGTCATGACCGTTGCTGCTCACGCTTTGTTTGCTGTGTTTGGTTGGTTAGTTGGTTGGTTGTTTGGTTGGTTGGTTGGTTGGTTGGTTGGTTGGTGGTTCGATTGTTTGTTCGGCTGTTTGGTGGTGATTGGCTTGGTTGTTTGCTTGTTTGTTTGTTTGCTTGCTTGCTTGGTTGTTTGTGTGTGTGTTGTTTGTTTTGGCTTGTGTTTGTCTGTTTGGTTCATGCGGTTGTTTTCTGTTGTTGTTTAAGTTCTTTGGTACCTGCTCCAGCGCCAGAAACTGCATGCCCTTGCACCCTGCCGTCAACGTACAAAAATGCGGCCGCAGCATCACCAGTTGGCTGGTTTCCCCCTCTTTCTTTCTTTTTATCACCAGTTGGTTAAAGAGACCAGTTGGTTTCCCCACCATCACCAGTTCTTTGGGGCATTTTGCTTGGATGTTAGGACTTCAACTTTTTGCCAACTCATGGGTTTTCCGAGTTAAACCACTAAAAGTTATTCACTTTTAGCAGGGCTCCGCAGATTTCGCAACCGAGCGTTGGTCAGGAGGCAGAGGAAACCTCCAGCGAGGGCGAGGAGAGTTGATCCCCAATCCAATCGTTTCGACTGGGTCGGCCCGCCAACGTTCTTAAACCACCAGCACCCAGTCCGCTTCAAACCAAAGGGATCAGTGTAAACAACCAGCACCCAGTCTTCGAACCCAACAGGGGTCTTGTTTAAACAGTGGTTTTTTTCCACATGGTTTAAGCATCTTAAGACAAAGGAACCATGGCCTGAGCCTGTAAAGCAGCAGATCATGCGCGTGCTGGTACTCCTTGTGCTCAAACACTTGACAGTGGATAGCATGCAAAGTTGGCCACTTTGGTCAGGGACTGCTTCCTGGTTTTCTAGAGATTACTGGAATATCGTGTTTGGCCGGGCATACAGATATGGCTGTGGTTGTCAAAACCAATGGGATGCCATTTTGGGGTAGGTGCACCACCCATTTTAGTCAACATTTTAGTCAGGATTGGGATGTTCGCTGGGGGTACAGGAGTATGACCCATGGCCATGTGTTCAAAGCTCTTCAGTTTTCCCACTGCTCATTTGCGGGCTTCGCTTTACGTTGGCTTTTATTTACTAGAGAGCAACTTGGTTTGGTTCAATCAAGGGCTGGAGAACAAATTGCTTTCTCCAGCTTACACAATGTTCAGAGCCGTTTGACTACCCCTTTAGGATGGTAGGGGTGAGCGGCCTTGCTGGATGTGGGTTTCCTCTGGTCCCTTGAGTGTCACGGCCGTGGTTGTTTAATTCGACTATCTCACATATTTGGTTTCCTCGTCTTGCCAATGGCGAAGCGCCAGAGGCGAGTCGCCGTGTCTGGGCACCAAACTCAAACGGAAGAAGCACTGAGAGAGTCCGATTTGTTTTTTTGTTTTTTGTGCCAGCATGCGAGCACCTCTCACTTGGTGGCTTAGATTGGTCTGGATCTGTACACATTACAGGGGACACACTCGCTAACCACCAAACCACCAATCCACACCACCAATTAGAGGGAAACTGATGGTTAGGGGTAGGCATGTTTGACTTGGCCTCGCTGTGTCTCGCTTTGCTTCGCTTTCTTGCCTGATTATATGTTTTCTTGCGTGGCTTGTGTGTCAGCGGACTTTTGTATCCTGGTAGAATGTAGGGGTGGTTAAAGAAGATCCAAGAGCCGGGAGGCCCTCATCTTGACGCATGCCCACAGTTTGGGACAGCTGGGCGGTTCAATCTCTCGGGTATACCGGCGTTTCAGGCGTGTCAAGTTCACACGGCGGTCCTTTCCCACGCGGAACTCAGCTGGACACTAGTTGAGCTTAGAGCTTTGGTGGCTTTGTGAAGAGCACGTTGTCAATGACTCGATTGTGCATGGGATACTCTTTGCTTTGTAAAATCGCCGAAATGGGGCGTTTGCGGCGGGGAATCCTCATTTCAGCGGCTCACATTGTCCACGAGGTTTCCCTTTACACCCCAATACCGACTCGAAAGGCGGCGGGTCCCGTGTTGATGCAGGAGCCGAGCAGCTTTCTTGACCAGAGGTGGGTGGGTAAGGGGGTTGGCAGACCTCGGATTGAGAGGTCGAGTCCTGCCCCTCAGTGAGAGGCTCCTACTTTATGGTTTAGTAACGGTAGGCGAGTGAGATGATGTGGCCTGTGCAACCAGTAGGCCCAAGAGTCAACAGGTTTTGGGCGCTGCTCACTTAGTCTATCGCCTTTGCCCGTGGAATCTTGACCGTGACTGGAAGGTACCTTCGGTTCTTGCGGCAACGTTGTGGATTTTCGGGCTTGTTGGATGAGAAGCACGCGGCCCGCATCAAGTTCAGAGGGCCAGCGTCAAGTTCAGTGTGCTGTGAAGCCTGCGGACAGAGGTCTAGGCAAGTAGACTTTCGACCGGTTGGTCTCAGTTCCGTAAAGTGCTGGTCAGCAACGGTGAATGTTCATGATGTTCCACTTGGTTCAAAAGAGATGATCTAGGACCTCCGCTCGCCCCTAGCTAGATTGCAGGCTCACAGGGGAACCATATGTGAGCGATCGGTGAAAGAATTGGTGAGGAAACGAGCATGTCTTTGTTTTCCAGGCCCTCAACACAGAAAGCAAGATGGTTCAGCCGAATGGGACGTTGAAAGATTGACCCAACGATTCAAGAGCTTGAATAGAAATCGTATGATGAAGTGCGTATAGCCATGACGCCAGTTGGAATTTTGGCCAGCTCCAGAGCTGTCGTGGCACAAGAAAGACAGAGAGAGAGAGAGAGAGAAAACACACATAAAAGAGAGAGAGAGAGAGAGGGAGAAAGAAAAAGAGAAAGAGAGAGAGAGAGAGAGAGAGAAAGAGAGAGAGAGAGAGAGAGAAAGACAGAGAGAGAAAGAGATAGCCAGTTTTCGCTTTTGTTTAAAAGATTAGACAAAAGGAATTGGGAATCAAACCGACCTCGTGTCCACCTCCAGACGGGCTTTCATTCGGATGCTGGCCATTTGCATACCCCGCCACCAGACGCCTACTCACTTCGGTCTCTTCATGTCAACTTCCGCCTTTTTCTTGCCGGGAGACATTCACCCCTTAAGTTACATTGTCACTCGGCATGTCTTAAAATGGACCCCGCAGAGGTGGCAACGGTTCCTTTTGAATCGCTTCCCCCACGTCCCATGGAAGCCGTTCTCGGTTTCCGGGATCGGACTTGCTTCCAGGCGCGGCGGGGTCTCCGCCGAGGCGGGGTGCATCGATGCGCCTGTCGGTGCATCCGATGTTCTCGGGGCGGCCAGGTCGTTGTGCAGAAACAGGGAGCAACATGGGCGGAAGCCGACTTCTTTCCAGGGACCAGAAGCCGAAACCCAAACAAATTTCTTTGGACCCAGCCTCCGGTTCCATGTTGGTAGGGCTTGTTGCAGGCTTGAATTACATGTCCGTTGTCACACTGCTTAGGGGTCCGAACTCTCTTTGCGATGTTTGGACTTTTTTTTCAGTTCTCCTGGGCAGATCTTTTGATCATCGACCCTGGGCGGGCAATTTTCAGCATCCGCTAGGCACACGGCACCTGGAATCAGTTCAGCTCCACTTGGCCGGGCAGCCCAAAGCGCCAAGGAGAAGTTGCGGCCCAAGTGCCTTGCGACTTAGCGGAGAGACCCCCTTCGATTAATGAGAAGAATGCTCACCTGAGAGAGACTGTTTGTAGATTTGTTTGGCAGTCCACGCCCCGGCCACTATCACCACTGGATTCTTGCAGAGCTGGAAGAGCTGCGAAATCGCGTGAACAGATGTTCCAAACTGAGTTGTGCTTCCAGTTGGGGGCGGTGCTTTCGTTGTGTTTGTCGGCCTTCACTGATGCTCTCATCCTTTTGTTCTTCACACATAATGCAGACTTACTTGAACTTGGCTGAAGAGTTGTTGCCCGCACGTGAAAGCATGCCAGAAGTGAGGGAAGTGCGGCAAGAGGGAAATACAAAGCACATAATATTGATTTTGACTCCTGCGCAGCGCATGCGCTCAAACTCGGACACCGGGAGAATTGGCACGGTAGGCAGCGCTTTAAATTCCGAAAGTGAATGCGAATCCTTGCCGCGCTTTTGGGTGGTTGAGCGTCAAACGCCGATGGTTTTGCGCGTCTCGCCATTGCACCGGCCTCGGACTTTGATTGGCCAGCCGTTCACCCCGTGCTTTGCATTGTGTTCAGCTGAGCTCGTGACATCCTTTGCCCAAATTGGGCTTGGCTGACTGATGATCTTGCTCACACACAGGCTAGCTGATGAACTCACAAAACTGATGAACTGATTGACAAAGTAGTTGGTTGGCTATTTGTCTGGCTAGCTAGCTAAATGGCTTTCTAGCTGAGTCGGTGACCAAGCAACAAACGCATTAGCCAACAAACTGGCCAAGTGTGTTGCTGTCTATCGAACAATCAAACAAACAAATAAGCAAACAGACAGACAGACAAACCAACAAACAAGCAAATATCAATATTACTAACAAGCTAACCAGATAACTAATCAGGTAACTGCTGACTGGCTAACTGGCGAACTAGTTCGCTGGCTACCTGAGGTACCTGCCAACTGGCTACTTGGCTCAATCAACTAGCCAGCCAGCTAGCAAGGCAACACTATTGCTCGGGAACAGGCCATTGCTGACCGACCGACCGACCAACCGACCGACTGACTGACTTTGTGACTGAGTGACTGACTGAGTGAGTGACTGACTGACTGCCTGAGTGATTGAGTGATGCGCGCGTGAGCGTGTCAATGGAACCCTTTTCGCAAGCAAAGAAAAAATGAAAGCGTTGCGTCAGACCATGTGGTTCAGTTGCCTTGCTGGTTTCCCGAGTTTCCTGGGCGAGCGGAACTTTGCTAGGCTTCCCAACCCGGCAGTTCTGCGCCAAATCTCCCCACGCTTTGTAAGCTGAGCCCCCTGTGAGCCGAGATCACAGGTTTTGCCAGCAGTTGTTCGCCCCATTGCTGGGTAGTGACGCCATCTATATAATGGAAAGTCCCAGATTCATAAACCCATCCCAGCAAGAAGGGGGGTGTCACCCACACTAGTACAGGATTCCCAGTAAAAGGGAAGACCCCCTATGAATCACCCAGGGTTTACTGTAGTCATCCGGGGTTAACATTACTTCCCATTTCTCCACCCAGCAGTCTCAGTCGTCGCGCACGCGCCGAGGCACACACCCAGCGAGCCCAAGACGCAGCAGCAGAGGGCAGACCTGATGAAGGCTTTGAGGCGCACTAGCCTCTCGAGGGATATGGGTGGCTCGTCGTTTTTTTTGGGGACGGGGGGCCCCCCAAAACGGCTTCGGTTTTGTCCTGTTGGCTTCCCTTGAAAGCCAAAAAAGGGGCTTGCTGAAAAGGACAGACCCAGATGCCCCACATTTTTGCTTTTGGTTCTTTACATGAGTCTTTTCAACCCATGCTAGGTATCGTTCCGAGCCGTCTTTTCCAGAGTCGTTTGAGTGGGGACGCCTGTTTGAGACCTGTATTGCCAGGGGTGCGACTTGGCCGGACGCCACCTCAATGAACGGGTTGCCTTTAGGGGACATAGGATGGGGATGGACTGAGCTCCAGCCCTTTGTGTGGATGTGATGTTTTGCGGTTGAATCGGGCTCATGAATGTTGTTTGTCGCTAAGAAGCTAGCAAAGGATGTATTGCAGCCGGATTCGTTTACAATGCCCTTTATAATTGTCAGGCATGATGTTGGTCAGCACTGGTGACACCTTTCCTCGGTGTTCTATATTTTTCATTTAAATGTTGCACCCTTAGATTGTGTTCCTATGCCGTTGCTGCATCCTTGACCCACTTGCCTCGAATCAAACAAGTCTAGCGGGTTGTCGCTTTCCAGCGTGACCAAGGATGTGGAGCAATGAACACCTGTTGACCGGGATTCCGAACGTTGCGTCACTTGTAAGGTCATTGCCGTGAAAAAATGAAGCCCCTGCCCAGGTCAAAAGTAGAGAACAAAAGTATGTCCGGAGGCAAGATGCAAAACTGGCCGCCGGTAGAAAGCGGGCTTTGCCTCACCCTTTGGGGGGAAGTAAAGGAGAAGCGCAAAAGCGCAGAAGCCCCTCTTAGATGGTTTCTCTTCCCAAACATGGGGCCAAAAGGCAAGTCCTACTAGAAAGACTTGCCTTTTGGGCACCACAGATGTGCAAAGGATATTCAGTTGACTCATGGTGCCCAGCGCAAGGATCAAGGACCTAAGGATCAGCTTAGAAGAAGCAGCTGGCGTAAGTCCAAAGGAAAAAAGGAAAAAGTCACCATAAATCCCCAGTGACATTGGCGCAGCGTTCTCACTGCATCCCATTTATCCACTTGGGCACGTGCCCAAGTGCACGTTGCAACTCGACTCTGTGCAAGTCGTGACTCCTTTCCCACCTTGATATCTCCTTGTGTGAGGCTTTTGGGCCTTGGGTTCTTTGAAAGAGAAGCCAACGATCAACGGGAAAGCCAGCATTCTGTGGGTTCTCGGGTTCTCCGGTTTTGAGACAGCCAAACTGAGAACCAAAATCCCGCGCCCCCGCCGCATGGCCAGGAAGTGCCCCTTCACTCAGAAGGTGGACGTCGGCACGCTGGATGGCCTTGCCAAAGCCTCGGGTGTCCACGGTGCCGTTTCCCGGTGTCGTTTTTTTCTCCAGCTTGAAAGGGCAGCCAAAGGCTAGGTCCTGGACCCAGTAGTGCCCTTTGTCACCCCTTTTTGGGGGGAGGTTTCCCCTACCATAGACTACAGAAAAAAGGGTACCCCCATGCTAACCTCTCTGCTGGAGGAGCTAGAACGGGAATACCGAAGCCATTTGGGAGTCCCCTATTTCCAGACACACCCATATATGACAAACTATAGCACGTGTGGAAGGTTCGGGGGCGGATGCTCCTTGGGCTTCTAGTTCTTTTTGGAGCGGTCAACCCACCATTGCCATGAGCTCCCGAGCTGGTGTTCATGAACCCAGTTGCCCAGTGGTGCCCTTTTTTCCTTTTTTTGGGAAGGGCTTCCCTTCAAAGTCAACCAACCAAAAAAAGGATGCCTTTTTCTCCCATGGTTACTGGGCATCTGAGTGAATTTGCAGTTTAACATCGATGTTCGCAGGGAATCAGGGCTTTCCGGTTCGATATCTTGTGCGAATTCTGGTCATTGTGGGGTCACACGTGGTGACAAAGCCAGATGGCTCCCTCCCAGTAGCATGGCACTTGACAGAGGGTCCCTCCCAGGTGCTCTGTTAGTTCTAAAGAGCGCTCTTTGGAGCAAAACCACCCCGTTTTGGGGATTTGAGTTTCTTTTTCTTTTTTTTGGGGGGGGCAGCTTTTTCGCTGAACCTTCCGGAAAAGCACACGCAGCCACCCCGCGCGAATCGCGGGGCGTGAGGTGAGCGCTATGCCGGTGCAGCAGTTTCCACCAGGCGGAAAACGTCGCACGGCCTGGGAGCGAGTTGGGAGGTAAAGGAGGTCCTTCTCTTGCAGACCCCTTATTTCAGACCTTGAATGTATAGAGTTCGCAGAAGCTAGCCTCGATGGTTTAACCAGACCGAAGTTGCAGTTCAGAAACCAAACGGATTCAGAGAACGTTGCACTTAACATGGTCTGTCGGGAGCTTGGACGCGCAACATGCCTTGCGCTTAGAGACGCTCAAAACGAGGACATGAGGTGTGCATTGTACGCACGTAATTCGTATACATACGTGTATATATATATATACATATATATTTGGAAGCATATCTCTATATATATATATACACATATCGTAGCCCCCCCCAAAAAAAAATCCCTACATGTTCCAGAAAACACCGAAAAATCAGAGGTTTGTCCACGAAAGTCAGCGTCTCTCTTGTATATACACACATATACAGACTTAGATATATACATGGGGTCCTGGCAGATGCTACCTATCTGGTCTTGCAACACGGGTATATGTATACAGTATGTATAAAAGCTCAAAGCTTGCGCCTCCATCCCGTGAAAGCGTTGCCGTTTATCAATCTTTGGGCGCACTCGGCAAGTTCGCGGATTGATTCGATGGCCAGGGAAGTCTGAAGATACACCTTGGCAAATCAGGTTTTATACCATTTTACGAGTGACTGCTCGTTTGTTTTGCTTTCCAACAAGCTCGCACAGCGAAACTAACACCTGTTTGTTTAGTGAGTGTCCAGCATAGAAGGCGTTCCCTGGAGCGCGGGAGATAGCTCTTGCAGAAACAACATGAACACAAGCGTTCGCATTGCACCTTGCCCGAATTCCAGAAGGCAGGCTCAGAAATTACTATGCTCGCAGCAGCGCTCGCAATAGCGCCCAGTGCTAGTTTTGAGGCAATCAGACCGACATCTCCATGTTTGGCACTATTCTATCCACACGGGCTAACCACTGCACGGGCAAGAGGTCTGGTTTTGCAAGTTGTTGCACATACCAGTGATGTGGCTGTGGGTCAAAACCAATGGTACCATTTTGGGGTAGGTGAATTCACCACCCATTTTAGAACCTATTTTTAGTGGGGATTGGGATGTTCACTGGGGGTACGATTTGGATTTTGACCCATGGCCATGTTTGTTTATCTTGAAGTCAACCATGAACATATTTCTTTGGTGCATTTTGCCCAGAGATGTTAGGACTTGAACTTTGTGGCAACTAATGGGTGTTCCTAAGCAACCGAGATTTGGCAAAGTCCCCTCCATCGGCCCCCTGACTGCCACTGACACCTTTGCTTTGCATGTGCCATGTGGTGCGCTGGGAAGCTGGGGCCGTTCCTTTGAGACCTTCAGATCCCCTTTTGAGAATTCCCGGAGGCCGTGGGGTTTTCGGAGTGGTCCCTTTGAGTTCGGAGCGGTGCCGAGCCCGGCGTTTTGGGTTTTGGCGGGGCCTGGAAGGGCTCCGGTGCGGACTTCCACCGACACCCTCCCGGTGGCAAGGCGCTCTGGTGTGCAGACAAGGTGACTCGGGCGTCGGGGCCTCGGGTGCGTCAAGTGGAAACTTCAGAAGTCTTGGGCGGTGGGGAGAAGAGCCTACTTGCTTCTGGCGTCTCTCTGCGGCTTTCGTGGTTGGGCTGTTGTTTGAAGAAAAAACGAGTTTGGTGGCGGTGTAGGATGGTGAACGGCGGAGTTGAGAATGCCTTTTTAGCACAAAGGTTCCTACGCTTCGAGTGCAACAACATGCTCGTAGTCTTTTGCCCCCAGACTTTGTTCAGGCGCTCGCCTTTGCACTCGCTGGTCTCTCGTGAGAGGTGGCTCCAATGCACGTCTCAATGTTTCCAAACATTGTGGCCCGCAGTTGCGCGGTTTTCCCTTCAGCACTAGCAAGCATGTTGCAATTTCTCGAGGGTCCATGATAGGATGAGCTGAAACCTGAAGGGCTGCTTTTCAGAAGCATGCATATCATTCAGATTCTGAGCGGTTGGACCTAAGTCAAAGCGCATGGCGCACGTTGAGCTATCGAATTCGAAGCCGTCTTTGCGAGGGGCATAGATCTGACTCATTGCCGCGTCAATTGACTCGGTTTTGCACGTTCACTGTTGGTTTTCCAGCTCCGCACTGGTTGCTTGGGGTTGAGGACATTGCAGTTTATTTCCCGACCTGTAGGTCGGCCTACCGCCTAATTGATGCAGAACCGTTTAACTGGAAAGCGTTCAATAACTCATATGGGACTCCAGAGTTCGGCATAGTTTCCGCATATGTATATATATATATAGGTTCCATGACACTGAAACTGGATTTGGCGGCATTCGAACGAGTTAGATTGTGCCAGTTGCTGATGGCATGTCCATGGCTAGAATGTTGGTGCCCGGAATGGCGGTCGCAGTTGATTTTGTTCGCTCTTAGCTCTTACAAAAACGTTTTCTCAGGATTTCTGCAACCGGATTACACTCTCCGGGTCCATGATGCGCTATTTCACAAGTTTTGATCTGGACGTACCACTACACTTTGTAGCGTGAACTACAAACAACACTTGGACCGTCCAACTTCCAAACTGGCTGAATTGACCAAGCACATTTGCTTGAGCGCATGCGGCTTGCTCATTGTTGGAGTTGGCCGGGCTTTTTCCGGAGGGCTGACATTGCCCTTTGGTCACATGGTAGGATTTCGTTTTTGGCTGTGAACATCGAATAGGTGACCCTGAAATGATGGTGTGCTCATCTAGTTGGGCTTGTCTCTTTCAGTGAATGAGTAGTATGTGTCTGACTTCTCACAATCGGCAAAATGCTAAAATCATTCGCCGGGCAAGTTGCCAGGTAAAATCAACAAAGTAATTATGCTCCCGCCTAGCAAGGTGTCTTTTGACGGATGTGGGTGCTTCTCAAATAGCGATCTGAACTGGCCAAAAGTGTCCTGTTGTTTCCCTTTGAATATCAGCCAAAAGTGTATAAACCATTTTGAGAACCTTTCATGTGCCTCGAAAGATCTGTTCCCCGCCTTGGTGCAATTCATCCTTCAAGGGCGTTTGTGCGAAAGATCAGTTCCCCTCCTTGGGCGTGCAATTCATCCTGGCGTTTGCCATGCGCCCCAGGACTGCGCTTTCATACTCCTCCAAGGCACTGTCTCTGTCTTCAAGGACAGAAGTGGCCTGGAGGGTTTCCATTTGCCAGAAACAGACCTTAGAAGTGCGTTGTGAAACGTTTGAAGGGTTGTCCTCACAAAATTCCAATGATTGATCCCCCCGCCCATGCTCATGTTTTAAAGGCAGACGTATCAATGCTCAGACGTGTCAATGCTCGTCAAGAATATGAAATCGTTGTTTGCAAGAACCTTTTCATGTTGGCTCGCCTTTAGGTGTCGCAAGGCAAGTTTCAACTTCCCGCAGAAGACATTTGCTTCTGTGGTTCCAACTAGAGGCCAAATGTGAACAAACAGTATTAAAGCATCAAGCCGCCAATCATTCAGCATGTTTCTTCCCCAGCTGTCTGGGGAAACAAGGCTTGTTTTGGAGGAAGTCCCACGTCCGGACGGCTGTTGGATTTGCCGGCCCACAAAGCCGCAAACAAAATAGTGGCAGAACATGTGAATATGTGTTGCAGGCGAACATGCAGGTTTGGAGCATGGCCAGGGTGGTACACTTGGGGTTGTCTTGCTTTGTGATCGCTCGCTCGCTCGATTCCTTGCGGGGGAAA